GGTGACAAATGAGAGGTTGGAAAGTGTGGGTCGGGTAAAAAGGAACGGCACATGAACTCATGGACCCAGTCCGCTCGCCACCCTCTCGGAAATGCGAGTATCCTGAAGGATGAGGCGGTAAGGTTGTTGCAGGGATGAAAATGAGCGCCATGCAGACGGCCTATCAAGCGACGCAGCCGGCGTCCAGGAGGGTGGGAGGTGGACACATGGAGGTGGTCGATCAGAATGTTGTCGGGGGGGAGGGGTGGTTCAACTGCAAATTTCTTTCCATTTCTTCCCCCCCCCCCCCCCCAAAAAAAAAAAACTCGAAAGAGTTAAGAGGTCATTTGTTCGCCCGCCTGGCAACGTCTCCCCCCGATCTCTAGAACGAGCGAGCGAAGGGGTGATGCGACGACGCTGAGAGATTTCAACATCGACAATTCCTCACTCAGCGCTCTCGATCTGCGGCGTGGGAGACAAGGCACCTGGTGAACTTGAAATGTGGGGAGTGGGTGTGCACGCAAAGAAGGATTCGCGAGCGGAGTCGTTGGCATGTGCCCAAGTAAGTGCGGGTTGGGAGGGGGCATGTTCATCAAGCCGACGGTGCAGAATTAGGCATTCGGAAGGAAAAGGTCTGAGTTTCCGGTCAGCTTCCCTACCAAAAAAATGCATGAGATATTTAGCGTTCTACAGTATGGATACAACAAAGCGCAACTGTGGTATAGTGGTTAACATGCTCGCTTCCCAAGCGAGCGGCCCGGGTTGGAACCCCGGCAGTTGAGGTCTCAAGCTCAATGACTATGTATGTGGCTACGAGTTTTGAGCGAGCGCGCGTTGACCATCATTGTCCACCCCCCTTGTTTGTGACGTCACGCGCAGTCGCCCGCCGCAAAGCTAGAAAGTCGGCCTCGTTGTTTTCGATCGTAAAACAAGTTCCTCGGAGGCTACCACACTCGGGCTAAAAAAAAAAAAACAGCAAGAAGCAACAGCAAATATATAAACAGAAGGCAGAGCCCCAGCCGGAGGAGGGAGAGGAAAGCGCGGGCGGCACCGCTCTTCGACCGATCGGCCTTCACCTCCCCCCACACAAGCAAGATTAAAACAAACAAGACTCTACCCCGAGATATTAACAAAGCATTTAGCAAAAAATCGCGGCGGGGGGGTGGGGGGTAATTTTGCCATCACCACTCCTCCTCGCTCGAATCCGTCCTCCACCCAGCATCCTCGTACGAAACCTGGTCGTCCTCGTCCGAGGGTGGCGGGGGGACGACGACGGGCCATTCGAGGGGCGGGAGCTGGCTGTCGACGTCGTGGGGGTCGACGAACCTGTCCAGGGGGTTGTGGGAGGTTGGGGAGGGGGTTGGGATGAAGGGGGCTGCGATGGCGTTGAGGCGGAATGAGGAACGGGTGGGGGTTGTGGGAGGGGAGGCTGTTGGGGATGGCAGAGCGGCGGCGGGGTTAGGTTGGGCGGGGTTGGTGGGGGTCGTGACGGGGTTAGGCTCATGCGGCGTCGGGGTCGGTCCACCCCCATTCACGCTCGGGGGTGTCTCCTCCATGCGCGGCGGGGTCCTTCCCATCCCGCACTGCCCCCACCCTCTCCATCCCTCAACCAACGGCTCGCGCGCAGCGACCTCCTCCACCAACCGATCGATCCCCTCAACAAACAGCTCCCCAAGCCTCGCATCCAGCAGCCCAACGCCACCCAAAAACAGCTCAGCGATAGCGCGACGAGCAGCATTAACGACCTCCAGATCCTCGCTGCAAAACGGGCCCGGGAACGGGATGCGCTCCGTCTCCCACGAGTACCCATGGACGAGATGGGTGGCGTGCTCGTGGTCCTGCTCGGGTGCGACGCAGAGGCTGACGTTCTCGGGTGCGCGCGTGACGACCGCAAGGCGGAGCCCCCACGCGGGGCCACCCGGGATGAGTGTCATCCCGTTGAGGGCGATGATGGTTCCCATGACGCCGAGGGCCATGGTCGAGTGGACGGCGGCGTGGACGCCCTTGAATTCCCATGAGGCGTCCGCGAGGGCTGCGAGAGGGGAGCGCCAGTAGGGGTAGGCTTTTGCGCCTTTGTTAGTGGTTGTCTCGAGGCCTTTGAAGAGGGTATTAATGACTTGGCCACGCCAGACGAGCGCGCCTGGGGCTGAGACGGCGCCGATGTCGACCGACACGGGGGTGCCGCTTTCCTGCGCCGGGTTGGGGAGGGTGAGGCGCTGGGGCTTGCCGCAGGTGAGATACGTCACGAAGGGGATCGCCGGCGCTAGTGGGGTGATGGGGCTGTCTGGCGGTTTCCGGGGGGTGGCGAGCGATAGGGACTTCATGGCCCCGGAGATGTCGTGGTCCTTGTCGGGCGAGTCGAACTCGACGACTGCGGACTCGTAGCCGACGACGACGCGGGACGCGCCGAGCCACGCAAACGCCGCCTTAAGAGTCTCCGGGTCGGATTTGAAGTTCGCGGGACAGGTATCAGTAAATGTGATGCAGACAGAGCGTGCCGAGTCGAGTGCAGCAAGCGAGTCCGCTTGCGGGTTCGGACGCGGGCCGTCGCGCACGAAGTTGCGGAAGAGGTGCAGGTAGCGGGAACTGCCGGGCTGCTCCTCGCCCCCCCATCCAGCAACGGCCGCGACCTCCAATTCACCCTTCGCCCGGACCGACGTCCCTTTCCGGCCATTCAGCTCAGCCTTTGCGTCCCCTAATAGCTCAACAGCAAGCGCCTGATCCCTCGCAACCTTCTCCCTCTTCGCCTCCCTCTTCGCGCTCCTCCTCAAAGCCTTCTCCCTCGCGGCCCTCTTCTCGCGCTGCATCGCGAGCGTCTGCTCAGCGACATCGAAAGGCCTCGGCGTTGGTGCAGGAAGCCCATGCACGATGGTGGGCGCGAACGCGACGAGGACGAGGGCTCGGAGGGTGTCGTAATCGGCGGTGAGAAGCCCCTCGCCAAGATCCGAGTCGGCGCCGTTCTGTTGCTGCCGATTGCGGAGCCCGGCACGTGAATCGCCCACGGTCATCGCGAGCGCCGCAAGCCGCGTGAGGCTGTCGATCGCCGACCCGGCGCGGCCGGTGTCCAACCCGGGCACGCCCCCCGCGCGCACGATCCGCGCATCAACCTCGACCTCCAGCGCCCTGCGCAGCCGCAGCGCAAGGGTTCCAACCGACGACCGGAACTGCCGGAACCGGCCGGGGTGGACAGAGCGGGCGCCGAGGAACTCGCCGCGGGCGTGGGCGGTTCCGGCGGCGGCCCATCCTTTGAAAAGGTTGAGGACCGCGATTGGGTCCGAGAAGGCACGGTCGTCCGCGGCGAGGCGGCCGGCGTACGAGGACGCCAATCGCTCCTGGAGCTCGTCGGGATCGCGGATGAAGAGGCCGACGGGCATCGAGAACACGTCGGTGCTCATCAGGGCCGCGGCGAGAACGGTGGCTTCGCACGGGACGTTTGATCCGGTTCCGAAGAGGAGGAGGCGGACCAGGGAGATATCGATAGGCATGCGGGGGGCGATGCGCTGAGACGGGGAGGGGAGGTGGGAGGGATGGTTGATTAATATCAGAGGGCGTGGACTTAGATAGCAGAAATGAATTCGGGGTTCCCATGGCCATGTGAAAACCCCCACTCCCTCGCCCAACACAACTCACCCCCAAAAACGTCACCTTCCCCTCAACCTCCTCGACCGAGCCCTCCCCACTTCCGTCCCCACCGGGCGGCAATAGCGCGCCCCGATCCACAAGATGCACGAACGCGATCTCGAGCTGTTCGATATCCGGAGGCTCGACGAGCTCGAGCAGGATGCTGCAGGCGGGCTCGCGCGGGAACAGGTCGCGGACGCGGAGGACGACGCCTGCGAGCGAGATCTGGGCCACCTCGGGGGGCTCGTGGGCGTGGCAGATGCGGGCGAGGAAGTCGCGTGTGTACAGGCAGAAGGCGTGGCCTGGTGCGCAGCGGCCGGCTCTGCCTACGCGCTTGTGGGAGATGGGGGAGAGGGGGGTTGGTGACGATCAGTGAAACGATATTGGGGCAATGGGCACCTTCTTCCTCAAACCTGCACCGCCTCCCACTCCAATCCACTCCTTTCTAGCACCCACCTGCCGATGCGACGCCTTCGAGATCCACCCAACAGAAAGCTGCTCCATCCCGCGGTTCGTATTAAACTCAATCGCCTTCCTCAGCCCCAGATCAATAACAACAGTCACATCCGAGATCGTGACCGAGCTCTCGGCAATGTTCGTCGCAAGAATCAGCCGCACAGCTCCCGGGCCCAAAGCGATGAACGCGGCGTTCTGCTCGTCGCGGGGCGTTTGTGAGTGGAGGACTGCGACGACGAGACGGTCCGATGCGGCGGCGAAGACGGGGAGGGGTTGGGCGGCGAGGATGGCGTCGAGCTTTTCGCGGAAGGCGAGGATCTCGTATTCGCCGGGGAAGAAGATGAGGATGCTTTTGGCGGGCGCGGAATCGGGCGCGGTGGGAGATAAGGGTTTGGGGGCTTCAGGCGGCGACGCTTTCACATCTGTATCACACGGCGTGCTCTTAGGAGCCGCCACGTTCTGCATGTACCTCGGCACGATCCCCTCGATGCCACCGACCTCGAGCGCGAGATGGACGGCGAGCTCGTAAGTCTTGTCCTTGATCAGCGGGCTGAGCCCCTGCACCCGCGTGCTCTTGTTCGCCGCGCGCGTGTCGTCAAACTCCTTCTTTCGGGTGACGATTTCACTCGCGAGAGAGGCGAACTCTGGACGCTCGAAGAGCGCGGCGGTGAGCGGGTTCGTGGGGAGATCTTCGAGAAAGACGGTGTTGACTGGAAAGCGACGGCCTAGAACGATGATCGGGTTCGGCGGGGTGGGAGGCAGGTCCGGCTCGTTTATCACGGACGTGAAGTATGTGACAAACAGGTCGACGTCGAGGGTCGCGCTGGGTTGGAATAGATATTCAACGGGATAATCTGCGAATGCACGATGCAAGTCAGGGAATTCGACCTCGGATTCGGACGCCCCCTCTCGCTCTCACCTCATGATGACCAAACGAAACTTGAACCCCTGCTTCATGCGACGGAACAGCATCAGCATAAGCAGATCCATATCGACGGATCTTTCGTGCGCTTCGTCGAGCACCACGTGGGTGCATTCGGAAAGCGCCGAGGAGCGGGAGAGCCATTCGACGAGGTATCCCGTCGTGGAGAAGACTGGGGGGGGAATCAAAAAGATGGCGTGAGAAAAAAAATCCGCGGCCTATGCAGCAGAATGGGGGGGATGGTACCTATCTCGGCGCTCCGCTCCTCAATCTCCAGCATGATCCGATACCCGACGGCACCCCTCCCCGCGTCCCCTCTCTCAGCCACCTCGAGCGAGGAGACCCACTCGGCCAAACGGATCGCAGCGACGCGCCGGGGCTGGCTGACCTGGGGACACGGGGGAGAGAACCAGAATAAGCCACGTGTCAACAAAACACCATTTCCATCCCCTAGTTTCCACCCTCGAACCCAGCACCCC